ACAACCACACGTCCCCTTGGACTCAGCAGCTCGACTTCCAGAGATTTATCCTCAGATAAGTGAAAGGACTTATACTGCATGTTTGTAATAGGAACAGAATAGAATAATTTCCTAAAGGTCACCCACGGGGGACTAAAGAAATCTGTATGTCCACACAAGGAAATACTATTGCTACGGACTGAACGTCTGTGTCCCCGAAGTTCAGATGGTGAAGCCCGAGCCCCCAAGGTGAGGGTGTCTGCAGGGGTGGATCAGGGAGGCACTTAGGTGAGATGAGGTCATGAGGGTGGGGCCCCCAGGAACGGTTAGCGTCCTAAGGAGGCGTGAGGGGCCCAGAGCCCTCTCTCTGCCCTGGGAGGGTGCAGTGGAGGAGGCAGCTGTCTGCAAACCAGGAAGAACCCACCTCCAGCCTCCAGACCGTGAGAAATAAACCTTTGTTGTTGTAAAAGCCTTTACAGCAGATTAGTTTCTGCAGCAGAAAAGGGTGCATATTTGCTGCTGCAAATTTTTGTTGCTTTTAGTTTTGAGAAGAAATAATGGAAAACAGGAACAAGATGCTAGCCACAGAGGCAGGGCGGGAATGCGACGGAAGCGCGAAGGCCACATTCTGCTCTGAAGGCTCGCGCACCTCCAGTGCGTCCCCGTCCCTCGAGAGCGTCAGGCCTTGGAAGGCTGGTTTCTGAGGTTTGGAGAGAAGCCAACCACCAACTATCTAGTTTACGCCACTCCTTTCTTCCCAAACACCACTAATGCAAACATCCACAGAGCCCTCATAGTACCATAAAAGAATGATTTTGTGTGATCTAAACCGAGGTTTACTACTAGTTGATTCTTCCTTTCTTCAAAGTCTGATTTAAAACACCTGACACAGTCCTTCGTTTCTTTTTTCTTTGCAATACCTATGGAATATGTCTAAGCCTTTTGAATTTTTTAACATGAAAATATGTCAAAAATTCTGTGAGGTTTGTTTGTAAAGCCATTAGTTTAAAGCCGGCTAAATCCCTGTGCAGTCCAGTTCAGAGGGAACCAGTGAACCCTCTAAACCTTGTCAAGGTCAAACAAGTCTCTGTTTCCTTCTCCACTATTTGCATAAATCGTTGAGGGGCAAAAGGGGGCTAAAAGAAGTGGCTTGGCAAACTTAATATGCATCAGGAGAGGCGAGATTAAAGAAATTTTGGCCATTTGATAACATTTTACACCACACAGCCTTAAAAGTGGTTTTTGGCAGCTGAATGGAAGCCCTGCACGGGACACACATCACAGGGAACTAGGCAGGGTGCAGAAAACCGCCAGCAATGAGAAGGCAAATTTGTGCTTAATTTTAAACATACATTTGTGTATCTGCTTAAGCACCAGAGAGCTTAACACGCTTCCCACTGGAAAGGGAGAAGTAGTTGAGACCTAACATTTAATATCCAGAAATATTTTACCATGTGCACTAGCAGATCTTTTTAAGTAGACAGTAGACTCATTAAAACTTGTCTCTCCTTGTTGAGTGATTGCAATGAATGATTCTGCTTATAAACCTCACTGTTATATTTTAATACAAACTAGATGTGTAGTTAGGACCAAAAAAAGGCCAACAGTCTAAAAAAGCTCAGGGAAATTTATTTCCTGCAATGTTAGAACTATTTTAGCAAAGTGTCTCTGAAATCTAAGTAATGATTTTGAATGCCTCACATTTCAAATGTATTAGAACCTAACATTATCTTTTTGGTTTTCAAAAAAAAAAAAAAAAACACATGTTAGCTGTGAGACCTGATTTTCAAGGAAGTGGACAGGATGGATACAACTGCAACACGCACCCCTTTCTAGAATGAGGCAGAATGTGCTCCCAACCTGCCTGTTAAAATCAAACTGACTGATGTATGGAAGACGGAGAGACTAAAAATGAAACAGAACTGAGAACTTCTTTCTCAGATGACAGTGAATTTAACAGTCATTAAATCCTACTTGCATATTAATTCCTACTTCTCAACTTTAAAATAAAATTTTGTAGGCAGAAGTTCTATGATAGACTTTTCATGAATTTTAAAATTTAATTCTAAGAGAAGTTAGCTTTGGGATAAAGATCAATGCTCCTGAAGAAATTAACTAAATTTAGAGTATGACTAACCTGTCATAATTAAGAAAAATTTTCCCTATTTTCCTATAGTGAGGGTTTTTCAACACATTAAACTATGGATACCCTTAATAAAGTAACATGAAAACTACAGTCAAAACTCAATACTAGGAGATGACACAGGAGAAAACCCAGATGACCCTGGGTTTGGCGATGACTTTTTAGATGTAATATTAACACCAAAAGGCACAATCCATGAAAGAAATAATTTATAAGCTAGATTTCATTAAAATTGAAAACTGCTCTGAGAAAGACTGTGCAAAAAATAAAAAGACAAGCCAGAGACTGGGAGAAAATCTTTGTAAAACACACGCACACAAAGGGCTGGTGTCCAAAATACAAACAACTGCTACATCTCAACAGTGAGAAATGGAACAACCTGATAGAACATGGGTGCAAGGTCTCAGCAGACGCCACACCAAGGAGGTGCGCACGCAGGTGACACGCACAGGAAACCGCATCATTGGGGAAACGCAAACAAGAGGGCAACGGGATGCGGTCAGGACCAGAGCAGGCTGGCTCAAATGGCTCAACTTCCACGTATAACCAGGTTGCGAGTTTTCCGCTGCCAGCGACCCCCCGGGTGGGGTGCGAGCGCCAGCGCGAGCGCAGCCACTTTGGAAGACCGCTCGGTGGTTTCTTAGGACGTTAACACGGCTTTACCATGCGATCCAGCAACTGTGTGCCTCGTATTCACCCACATGAGCTGAAAACTTATGTCCGCACAAAAACCCACCGTGGATGTTTCCTGGCAGCTTTGTCACAAGGGCCAAAGCTCGGAAGCCACCAGATGCCCTTCACAGGTGACCGTATAAACTGTGGCACACCCGACAGTGGAGTATTACTCAGTGTGACAGGAAACGGGCTGACAAGCCATGAGAACACACGGAGGACCCTTAAACGCATGTTACTAAGTGGAAAAAGCCCGTCTGAAAGGCTGCGCATGGTGTAGCCAACTGTGACATTCTGGAAAAGGCAAAATATGGAGACAGTGGAGAGATTGGCGGGTGCCGGGTAGATGGGAAGGGAGGGAGGAGCAGGTGGGGCGCAGACGGTTTTTAGGGCAGTGAACTGCTCCGTGATACTACAGTGGTGGATACAGGTGATTGACTATACCTGTGTCCAAACCCACAGAATGTAACAAATCAAGAGTGAACCTTACCGTCAACTACGGATTCTGGGTGATAATGTGCCAAGGTTGGTCCGCAGACTATAACAAACACAGGGGGTGGGGAGGGGATGTTGACATGGGGAGGAGGAAGGGACACGGTGGGAACTCTCTGCACTTCCCCCCGGAAATTTGCTGGGTACCTAAAACTGGATACCTAAAAAATAAAGCCTATTAAAGTTTGTTTGTTTGTGTTTAAAGTACACATAGAAAGGGCATAGATGACAATTCTGTAAACAGAAGACCAGGCAAAGAGCCTCAGCCAATGTGTTGCCAATGATCGATCCAGGTGGTGTCAATCTCCTAGTCTTCCTACGGTTCTATGTTAGAAATTTTTCAAAATAAAAACTTAAGAGAAAAAATAGGTTTGTAGGATTCATTAGGAGAAAGGGGGACAGAACACAGGAAGGCTCAACCTAAAATTTTCAAGAGTCCACCCAGAAACAATGATATTGCCCATGTTTGACCAACATTAGTTATTTACAGCCCCTTCAGTTAACTCTGTAACCACATATAAATTCCATCATGATATTAAGGTAGTTGCTATTAAGAGTAACCATGAAGTTTTGAGATTTAAAAAATAAAAGGTAGCTAAGCACTATCAGAAGGTAATTTCTCAAAGACAAGTTCACATAGTAACCATATTTAAATGCTTAAGGTAATCAACTCCAATTTCTGTGATTTGGGAACTGCATTTAACTCCTATAAGAAATGTCTATCAAGATGAAACAACTTCAGAACCTAAGAGAAATTCTTTTTGCTCCAACTGGGGAAGAAACAATCTCTTAGAAGATAGAAGAGATCACTACCTTCTACACAGCTCTAACAGCAGCAGGAGAAAGCAGCCAAACATTTAACACCAAAATAAATTTTATGACCCTCATTTACCAAAAAAAGCTGGATTTCCGACCTAAATTTCATTGCACGTGAAAAGGAATATTGCACTGGGGAAAAGGGGGAGGGTTGGCATAGTAACGCAGACACGATCCACCTGGGAGTCTAATTAAAAAATTCTGGACATACCAAACATATCTCTACACTCGTTGGCCGATGCCTTGCAGTTTTCTGTATAAAGGACTTCTGCCTTTTCCCCCAGAAAATCAAAGGTTTAAAGAAAAGGAAATACTGGTTATGCAAACAAATATTTAGCCCACTTAACATTCTGCTGCGGTCATCAGGAGCGTCTTCCTCACCGACAGGCCGTCGCAGAGCCGGTGATTCAGGCCTTCTCGCGGCCGGCCCCGAGCACCTGGCGGCGGCGCGCAGGCCCCGAGCCCACCCCGCGGGGACGCCCCGGGCAGCGCCCCAGGCAACCGGCCAGGACGCGGGCTGCCCGCCGAGCAGCGGGGGGTCGACCCCCGCCACGACGGCGGAGCCTGGGGCAAGTTCTGACTCTGCACTCGGGATCCTCACGGGCCGCGCCCCACCTGCGCGCCCCCCCCCTGCCGGCGCCCCCCACCTGCCGGCCTCCCCCACCTACTAGCGTCCGCTCACCTGCGCGACCTCCACCTACCGGCCTCCCCCACCTGCGCGTCCCCCACCTACTAGCGTCCGTTCACCTGCGCGCCCCCCACCTTCCGGCGTCCCCCACCTGCGCGCCCCCCACCTACTAGCGTCCGCTCACCTGCGCGCCCCCTCACCTGCGCGCCCCCGGCCCCTCCTGCGCGACCCCCACCTTCCGGCCTCCCCCACCTGCGCGCGCCCCCTCACCTGCGCCGGGGCGGGGACGGTGGGCGGCGGCCCCCCCCGCAGGCCGTCCTCCTCCTCCGGGGGCTCGTCCAGAAGCACCCGGCTCCGGCTCAGCTTCCACATGCTCCGCGTCCCTCCTCGCCGCCCGGCGCTCGGCCTGCGGCTCCTGCGGGACACGGGCCCAGTGGGCCGGGCGGGGCCGGGCGGCGGGCGGGGCGCCCCTCCCGGGCCAGGCCCTCCCCCACCAGCCCCGCCCCTTTCGCACCAACGCCCCCCGCCAGGCCCGCACCACCCCCAGGTCCCCTCCTCCCAGCGTGGTCCCCGCCCCTCCCGGGCCCCGCTGGACCCCGCCCTCGCCCCGGCCACCGGGTCTCCGGGCCCCTCTCGTCGCCCCCGACTCACCCGCTCGGCTGCCCCCTCCCCGGGACGCCCCTCCCCCGCGCTCCCTCCCGGCCAGTGGGCGTGGCCAGTCCTCCCGGGTCACCGAGGCAACGGCCGAGCGGCCAGTGCGCATGCCCGCCCTCACTGCCCGGTGCGGAGGGGCAGACAGGGTGGGCTGGGGGCGGAGCGAGGAGGCAGGGACGAGCTGGCCCCCAGGGTGCGAACTCGGGGGCGCAGGGGCCGGGCTGCCGCGCGGGGGCTCCGCCCGGACAGGCGGGGCCGTGTCCGAACCAGCAGAGGACCGGGAGGGAGGCTGTGGTTGTCGGAGGAGGAGTCTGAGGTCCCGAGAGGCCCTCGGCACGCAGGTGCGCGGTGCTGCAGTTCCCAGCCAGGAGCCCGCGCACCGGCTCTGCGCCCGGGGGTGAGGATGTTTTTCCGGACGGTCCCGAACTTGGAGCAATAGGAGCCGAAGGGGCGCTCCACACACTGCGGGGAACGCACCGACTGCTTCCCGTTGCAGAAAGGAGCGGGCGGCGACAGGACCGAGGACGGCACGGCTACGTGAGGTGACTCTGCCGTCCGAGCCGCAAGCCTGTAGCGACCCTTGGGGCGTGGGGACGCCGCAGAGCTGGCGGCCGTTTGCTGGCATCTTCGGGGCGCACGCCGTCCTGCCCAGGAGTTGGCTTCCGCAGAGGAACTGCGCGCTTCGTGTCGCTTACAGTTTCACACCAAATACATACTTATGCATTGAGTGATTTAAAAATAAATTTTAAAAAAGAATCCAGAACTGTAGGCTTCGTTAAGAACTTTCTAAGCTTTATAACTTTACAACTCTTAAAAAAGAAATCAAAGGTATCTTTTGGGTTTCTAGGAGTAATTAGCCACAAAATTTTTTAAAGGAAAAGGAGCTCTGACTCCTTTCTGGGAGCTGCGGGGGGGGGGACGCGGGGGGAGCGGGGGAGATGGTGACTTTGCCCGAGGATTCGGCAGGGACCTCGGGCACAGGGCACGCGGAGAGGGTTATGGTTAGGGTGTATTAAATACCAACCAAGAGTACGGCGACGACGCCACCAGTCCCCACGTGTTCCCAGTATGTCACAGAAGGGCAGACAAGGTCCCACAGGCACACCTCCCCTCCCCCAGTGACCGCCAAACCCACCAGGCACAAACATTACAACACGAAACCACTGCAGCCTACTGAAGACCCCCGGTACATGCTCAGTTTAAGAGCTCCTTCATGGGAGTATTTAAGAATGTTAAAAATGTGTGTGTTAATATACCCTTTCCAGACAAGGTCTAGCAGGCGTGGCTTCCTGGGCTGGGATGCTCAGGGAACTGCAAAGGCGAGATGCGGTGGTGCTCGCTGCAAACACATAGGGAATGTGTGCTCTCCGGGCTGTCAAAATAAACACTGCGAGCACAAACACTGATAAAAGTCAAAAACCACAAAACAGAGGTCACAAAACAAAGCCAGGATCCAAACACAGCGCATTCAAAGACACTACAAATAAAACAGAAAACCAACTCAGAACCCTTGGACAAATAACACAGGCCCCCTCTGCTAATGCAAAGACGCTCACCCCAGAAGGTCATCCACTCTTCCATACTTTCAAAATTGTCATTGTAGGTTAGTTAAATTGTAAACCCCCTGCAAACTAGGACAGTCCAGAAGAAAGCCAGGCTTGCTAAGTCAAAGAGCAAACTTCTAGAATATTTTAAACAACATTTAGCTCTCTTTTGCAGAAGAGCACAGTGGGTTAGGGTATGGGCCAGCCACCTAAAACCGCCTGATGCAGACAGGAGGGAAGGGAGGTGGCAGGAGAGAGAAGCAGGTGAATGGCTGTTGGAGCTGCAGGCATTTCTGGAATTCTGAGACCGTCCCTGAGTTCCACGAATGTGACTCAGTTCACGCATTAACTCCTTCACTTGTCAGCTTTGTAGAATTAAGTCATGCTATTGTTAACATGCATGGGAGGCACACTTTACACAAGCTGGTGTCATGTACAGATTTTCTTCTGGATCTGGGAAGTGGCAGTTAAAGAATCTTTCATTTACTGAGCCCTCAGTTGGAAGAAGCTATTAATATTAGACTGAATTTCCCTTATTGGCTAATTTGGCCTCTGGAAATGCACCGGTGCAGAAACTGTAATGTTTTACTTTATAAAGCTCAAGTGTGTCACCCTCTCTGAATTCAAAATACATAAGGATCATCTTAGATTTTTGCCCTGGCAAATTTAATTTTAAATGAGAGTGGGGCTTTGGGTACCATATAGAACTTTCTAGCAGACAAAGCTATCTGAAACTAGTAAGTTCCCCATTCCTGGAGGTGATTAGGAAGAGACTAGATCTGAAGAGAGCTGCACCTTCAGTCATCTCTCAACTTGGTGTTTTTTTTAAGTTGATACATAAAATTTGTACATATTTCTGGGATACATGTGATATTTTGTTACATGCATAGCATGTGTAATGATCAAGTCAGTGTCACCTCCAATATTTATCATTTTTCTATTTTGGGAACATTTCAAGCCTTCTCTTTTAGCTATTTTGAAATATACAATATACTGTTGTTGACTATAATAGTCACCCTACTCTGTTGTCAAACATTAGAACTTCTCCTGTGTGTTTGTACCATTCACTCACCTCGCTTCACCACGCCCCAACCTCAGGCCTCCCCAGCCTCTGGTACCCATCATTCTACTCTCCACCTCCACGGAACAGTATTTTTAGCTCCCACATGAGTGAGAACAGGCAGTATTTGCTTTTCTGTACTTGGCTTATTTCACTTAATGATCTCCAGTTCCAACCACATTACTGAAAATGACAGGATTTTGTTCTTTTTTATGGCCAAACAGTATTTCATGGTGCATATATACCACATTTTCTTTACCCATTTGTCTGTTGATAGACAGTTAGGTTGATTCCATATCTTTGCTATTATGAATAGTGCTACAATAAACATGGGCATGCAGGTATCCCTCTGATATACTGATTTTCTTTTGCTTTGGATAAATTCCCAGTTAGTGGGATTGCTGTACCCTATGGGAGTTCTATTTTTAGTTTTCGATAGCTCTCCATACTGTTTTCCACAATGGCTATGCTAATTTACGTTGCCAACGACAGTGTGTAAGAGTTCCTCTTTCTCTGCATCCTCGCCAGCGTCTGTTATTTTTTGTCTTTTTAATAATAGCCATTCTATCTGGGGCAAGATGATATCTCATTGTGGTTTTGGTTTGCATTTCCCTGATGATTAATTATGTTCGGCATATTTTCATATACGTATTGGCCAATGTAGATCTTCTTTTGAGAAATGTCTATTCATGTCTTTGCCATGAGAGTAGGGTGTTGAAGTCTCCCACTATTGTTGTGTGGGAGTCAAACTCTCCCTTTTGATCTAATAATCTTTCCTTTACATATGTGGTGTCTGGTGCATATAAGTTTAGAATTGTTATATTTTCTTGCTTTAATAATTCCTTTATCATTATACTATGACCTTCTTCATCTCTTTTTACTGTTTTTCATTTAAGTCTTTTATCTAAGTATAGCTACTCCTGCTTGATTTTGGCTTTTGTTTGCTGCCTTCTTCATCTCTTTTTACTGTTTTTCATTTAAGTCTTTTATCTGATACAAGTATAGCTACTCCTTGATTTTGGCTTCTGTTTGCATGGAATATCTTTTTCCATTCCTTTACTTTCAGTTTATGTGTGTCTTTACAGCTGAGAATAGTTTCTTGTAGGCAGCCAATAGTTGAGTCATTTTTTTTAAACCCATTCATCTAGTCTATGTCTTTTACATGGAAAGTTCACTTTCTTTACACTTGAAATTATTATTGATATGTGAAGGCTTATTCCTGTCATTTTATTAATGTTCTCTGGTTGTTTTATATATCCTTTGTTCTTTCTTTCTCTCTTATTGTTTATCATTGTGGTTTGATGGTTTTCTGTAGTGGTAACAATTGAGTCCTTTCTCTTTCTTATTTGTGTGTCTGCTCTACCAGTGGGTTTTATAGTTTCTCTTATTTTTCATGTTAAAAGCCCTACCATAACCTAAGCAACTATGTCCAAATATATACATAATAATGGTGAATATATAAAAGCTGACATTACTGCCATTAATCACAATGTACACCATAATATATTACTACCAATCACTTATATGTTTATAAGAAATTTGTTTTATGTTTTGGTACTTTTCTATATTTTTCAAATTAAAAAGTTCTTTGACAAATAATTTTGATCCATAACTTCCTAACTGTTGTGACTCTGAGCAAGTCACTGTAGCATTTAGCCATTATCATCCTGTAGGGTACGAAAGGCAGTGTTTCCTGGGCTATAGAGATGAGCAGATAAGAGACAGGGCAGGCAGGGCAGGGCGTAGCTTCAGCATGAGAAGTCATGTGCCCAGACCTCGCTGGCACCATAACCTGAGCACCATTCTCCCCCTCCCTGGAGCTCCCACCAGGGCAGAATGGATACTGCAATATGCAAAGCGCCTAAGGTCACTCACTAACTTCATCATAATGAACAAGCCCATGTGAGGGGCGAGGCTGTTCCTTTATTGCTCATTAGCACAGCATTCACCGCCCACACCGCAGAAGTATGAAAACACAGTAGAAATGCCCGCCCTGGCGGCCCAGGGTCCCTCTCAAGACAGGACGCCTCACTTTGCCTAGGGCTTTGTGGTTACCTCCACCCGCTACTCACCAAAGTCCAGTCATTAGTTCCCACTTCCTCCCAAGGAAATTG